GGAATCTCCTTCCTTAGAGGTTTTTAAGGTCAGGCTTGACAAAGCCCTGGCGTGGGATGATTTAGTTGGGGTTGGTCCTGCTTTGAGCAGGGGGTTGGACTAGATGACCTCCTGAGTTCCCTTCCAACCCTGATATTCTATGATTCTATACCAACATACTCCTCCCAGAGCATAGGCATTTGCCTGCCTTTACAGGACTTGTGCAGGCAAATTGTGCAGTGCTAATCTCTGGGATGATCACGAATAGCTGTAAAGTAGAGAATGCAATTTGAGTTATAGTGTCAGGAGCCCACTGACCATCTTATTAGTCTTCAACCTAGACCCAAGCACGTGGGTTGCGGCAGCTCTGCCAATATAAACTTTCACACAACACTGAAACGGTTTGTGCAATACAGACCAGCGGCTAGATCTGGTAAAGGACAGGAGAGGGGAAGGTAATTAGTAAGGGCTGCACCTGAGAGTGATGGAGGGAGCTGATATACGTGTCAATGACAGATATTAGAGAGATACATCCAGTCACGTAAAATCTCTCCCCATCAGCCCTTCTACCCACATAACTGTACCCCTCACGTGTGTAATGAGATGAAAAGAGACACAGGGTTTGATTCCTCTCTTGCTTACAGCGGTTGTGGAATTCTATTGAAGACAATGGAGCTCCTCCACATTGACTCTGGTATAAGGAAGAGAGGGGTGTGTAATATGAATCTAAAAACAGTTTTAGATGTGAGGAGAATCAGGCCTAATGATGGGGTGACCGGAAAAATTGGGATGGGGTGGGGGGCAATAGGCACCTATATAAGACAAAGCCCTGAACATTGGGACTGTCCTATAAAATCGGGACATCCGGTCACCCTACCTGATGAGCTCCCAAAGCAGCTTAATAAAGGCACAGGAATAAGTGTCATTTCTTTTTGGGAAGCCCTCCTCTCCCAGTGCTGGATACCCTTTGGCTGTTTTCCAGGCGCAGTTATGACACAGGGGAGTCTCTGGGAGCTTCAAAAGATGATTAAGCAAGTCACTGGGAAATCTGCCTTATGGAATTATTCCAACTACGGCTGCCACTGCGGATCGGGTGGCAAAGGGACGCCAACGGATGACACTGATCAGTAAGTTGCGGTCTTAAAAATCCTGACAGGAACGTCAGTTGGGATAACACTTGAAAAAGGGCCTAAAGGCCAGATTTTCAAAGGCATTTAGGTTCCTGCAGATGCGCACCTAGTGGGATTTTCAAAAGCGCCTCGGTGCCTAACTCCCATTGAAATCAATAGGATTTAAGCACATGAGTATCAAGTGGGATTTTCAGAAGTGCCTATCTGCTTCTTTAAAAAGAACAGGAGTACTCATGGCACCTTAGGGCTGGTCCACACTAACCCCCCAGTTCGAACTAAGATACGCAACTTCAGCTACGTGAATAACGTAGCTGAAGTCGAAGTACCTTAGTTCGAACTACAAGGTACTTACCGCGGGTCCACACGCGGCAGGCAGGCTCCCCCGTCGACTCCGCGTACGCCTCTCGCGGAGCAGGAGTACCGGCGTCGACGGCGAGCACTTCCGGGATCGATTTATCGCGTCTAGACAAGACGCGATAAATCAATCCCGGAAGATCGATTGCTTACTGCCGAACCCGGAGGTAAGTATAGACGTACCCTTAGAGACTAACAAATTTATTTGAGCATAAGCTTTCCTGGGCTACAGCCCACTTCATTGGATGCATAGAATGGAACGTATAGTAAGGTGTATATACCCATACAGAGAACATGAAAAGGTGGGAGTTGCCCTACCAACTCTAAGAGGCTAATTAATTAAGATGAGCAATTATCAGCAGCAGGGAAAAAACACTTTTGTAGTGATAATCAAGATGGCCCATTTCATAGTTTGACAAGAAGGTGGCTCCTGAGTCACTTGAGCACATCTGAAAATTTTACCCCAAGTCTGTATTTACCCAAGATGCTCTCCATCAAGTGAGGCCAATAGGCCAGGTACTCAGCTGGTGTAAACTGGCATGGCTCTCTCGAAGTCACTGGAAGGATGTCAGTCTACACCCAATGCATTTGCAAAAGAGAGGTGGATTTGAATTATTAAGGAGGCAGGATTCATAAAGAGAGGTTCTTCCACCAGCTCATCCAAGGAAGATAGCTGAATCTACCTGCCCATATTTCCTAGAATGGGGTGCCCCTGTGTGTTGGAGTTAGGAGGAAGGCTACCACCAGGGCCGGCTCTAGGCACCAGCAAAACAAGCTGGTGCTTGGGGCGGCACATTTTTAGGGGCGGCATGGCCTGCACCAGAATGCCGCCCCTAAAAATGTGCCCCGGCCGCCCTAGCTCACCTCCAGTGCTGCTGCCACGGTGCGCGAAACAGCTGTTTCGCGCGCCGCTGCTCCCCCTCTGTCCCAGGCTTGAGAGCCT